TCGTGAACATAGTAAACTTGAACTACTGAGTGAAAGACGGATCAATGCATGCAAAAAATTGTTTATTAGTATATCAAATGAACCGGATCATAGACTGTATTATCTCTTGCAACCAAAACAAAATGCCAAATATTCATTGAAGGAACAGGAAACTATTAAAAGACCTAAAATTAAAACCAAACGATCAATGAGTGAATTTTTAACAAGTGCCATATACAAGTTTCAGAATTAACTGATAGACCTTTGTTCTTTTTTTAACCTTGCATTTTAGATATTTTGTTTTAAATTTGCTTACATATGTCTTTTAATATCCCTTTGTTCTTACTTACTAATGGTTTTATCCGACTGTGATGCAATGATTGTAATTATCCAACCCTCGGGTTGCAAATTTGGTAATAATAATAATAAATAATAAATTAGTTAATGAATTAGTTATATTAAAGATTCGGGTAGCCTGAAGATGAATATGGTGTATACGGCGTATAGACGGATGACTTGTGTTTAATTACTAGACAGATTTGATAGATGCAATTAAACAGGCACTAAAGTAAAATTGCTACAAATGCGCGGAGGGTATTTTAGTGTGCTACTGCTATCAATATAAGTGAATTTCCGGTGCAAAAGCATCTTGGACAGCGTTTTTTTAAACTTATGACTAGGGTCCAAGATAGGATCCTAGCTTATGACAGCCGCACAATGAAGAGGTAGCATAATAATCTTAAAACTTAATCACACTTTACAACTGGTAACCATTATATATATATATATGTGTGTGTGTGTGTGTGTGTGTGTGTGTGTGTCTAAAACATAACATGGTCAAATCAGCAATTTCTTTCGTTGCTTGTAAAAGATATCCAAATTCAATATGGAGCAATATGGTAATTCCTACAGGGATCACTGACATTGAAATGGTCAAGGTTCTTGTAAACCAGTTCAGGTACAGTGGTTTGCGTGAATGAAGAAGATAAAATTTGTGGCGGGCAATAAGGTAATGGTGTCAAAACGCGATTTTATTTCGATTCTCTGGAGATTAATAATTCACCCCCCTGTCTTCATTGTGGTGTACTGTTTCTTTTAGGGTTTTTAAACTGGACACCATTTCTTCTAGCCCGATTTATAATAATGCATAGAATGTCCTTACTGTATGACAAATAGTCTAAATTGTTCGCAAATTCCAGTGACTTTTATGGCCATCTAAAAGCGCCCGGCGGCTCAAGAGAATGGGTTCTGAATAATGAAATTTTCGTGCGCGGTCGGAAACATAGCCTCAGTAAAAAAAAATCATAATTTTTATCACGGAGCGTAGAGTGGCTCATTAACAATATAAGCAGGTTAGAAAAATGTTTATTTTAATTAAACAATGTAAACACAGATTAAATTCTCATTTATAAGCACTTTGCATGGATAAAGTTTCGATATGGGTCTTTATGACGGTGAAACAACATCAAATATTCAAGTACAAGGTCGTTGTATTCACAACTGAAACAGTCATGTCAGTGGAGAATGCATCGCATCAGGTCAAATACTTTAAAAATCACTAATTATTTTCTTCCTGGTATTGTGTTAATTATCTGCCTTGTCATATATATATTTTTTATCTTAGCATATTCGTAAAACATAACCTCATTCTATCCAGGAAAAATGAGAAAATATATTACTTCCTTGTCAACCCCCTAACTCCCCCCCCCCCTCCCCCGTCGAGACCTGGCAACTATGCAAGTAATAACTAGCGGTCGTCGTCAACGTGCTTTCTCGCGCCGGTGTACATGTATATCATCGCCTTTGAATTGCATTTTCCACCTTTTTCTAATGACTCGTGTCAACGCCCTTACTTTAAACGGAATTGCTAGTAATTCATTGGCTTTACCTCGCTTGCATATATACTGTATATTGCGAGCTACATGTAAACTTTATGGGTAGACCCGTAAGATTGACTGTACCAAAAGATGTCAGTCTGTCTTTATGGTAAATGCCCCTCAAATTGTAAGGCGTTGATCAATTTTTCTATATCGAACGCCAGGTTCGCGTTGGGTAATATCTGATTTAAAGGCGTCTTTTTATTGTCCATTCCATTAATGTCAACAAAACGTTCGAATGAGATCGAAGTGTATTTGCAGTTAGATATCGATCGCTGCTTTATTCCCCTGTGAGGTCCTTGAGGAGTGAACATTTGGATATTTGCTCGACAGTGCTCAATTTTAAATCTTCAAAAATTAAAGATATCAGCGGACAATATTTGTTGTAAAACTAAGCAAAATGAATGCGCGAGTCGCCGTCCTCGTGTGCTTCGGTTTGGCGCTTCATCGAGTCGTCGCAACTGGTGATTCGAGCGCAAAAAGCAACCGATTTCTTTTCTCGTCAACGGGATTAGCCAGCGGGTCCTCTCTGTCTGTTCTGAAGGACTCCGAGGCAGCCAGTCTGACAGACTGTACCCGGCAATGTTCTGAAAACCACGAACTGTGCTCGGTTTCGGCGATCGCCAGCGGCCAGGGAGTTCGTCAGTGTATTACCTACAGTAACACGCGAGTGGTTGGAACAGTGGGAGAGGTGGCGGCAAACTGGACTGTGGCAGAAAATTTCACTGATGTGGTGAGACCACACAAACACACACACAAACGCGAGCGCGAAAACACACATACACATACAGAGAGAGAGGGAGAGAGAGAGAGAAACACACACGCATATATCTATATATACATACATGTATCTTTATATACAAAAACCTGTCTGGTACACCCATCCATTTAAGTGTACGTATCAAGTTGAAACACGCTGTATACGTATAGGTATACATATAGGTACATGTATTACTGTGCTTTTTAAAATGTATTGAATCGTTTGAAACAAATAACTTCTCCGTGGCCGTCTCTTTTGGGTTGCTCAGACTTTGCAAAACACCATTTTAAATTTTATGATGTAACAGCATCAAATACCTTTTTCATCAAACATAAAACGATGTTTAATATTTTCCAGGATGATACCTTGACTAAATGGTCCTATGCTTTAGGTAAGTTTATTTTTAGTGGGTGAGGCAAAAAATGATTACTGGACATGGCCGGCAGAAGGGCCATCAAAGATATTTTGTCCGAAATTGGCCTAATCTAATGTTGTTGACCCCCCAAAAAAATTAGTCCGTGAAAAGTATCACTGTTCAACTGCGTTTGTATTTACAATTCACCCCTGTTGTCGGGAATTTTAAGTAAGAAAATTACAATTTGGACTCTTCAGCACGAAGAACAATTCTGATTTGTCACGATTACAACTGAAATTTGAGAGTAAGTATCAGTTTGATAATAAGGTTGGTAAGGGGTCAGCTATTTCATCATCGTTTTCACAAGTTTACAAAGCTCACGCTGAGGGGGGGTCAATGCCCTCCGTAACCTTTAGAAAAATGGTAAAAATAATGAGGCTGTCAGAGGTCATCGTTTTTAGCATATCACCTTGTACTCTCTTAAAGAGTGGAGGAGAGGTCTGGGAAAAGCCTACAATTTGTACACTTGTGGAAATGTAAAAAATTGAAGACACCTAAAGTGGAGAGTTCTTTCAAGACCTTTGAACCAAAATTTCAGACAATACCCCCCCCACCCCTGTCTCACCCGACTAACAACATACAGCATACACAACATACACCCGACATACAGCATTGATGGAGTGTAATCTTTTAACCTTATTATCAATATAATCCATTTCAGACTGTAGTGAGTTGTACTCCCGCGGTTTCACCACGGACGGGCAGTACTTGATCCGCCCAGACCCCTCGCAGGCTGTGGTGAAGGTTTGGTGTGATATGACGGACTCCCCGGGAGGCTGGACGGTGTTCTTCAAACGTTACGATGACTCTGTGAATTTTCACTCACACAACTGGGCGGGTGAGTGCAAACGTGCTGTGTCACCTTTACAGTTTCCTTCCCTTTTTTACTCTCTAACTCTCTCTCTCTCTCTCTCTCTCTCTCTCTCTCACACACACACACACACACACACACACA